TAGCCTTCCAGAGCATTCGAGTTCTCTGGGCATTGTGTGGGCACTTGTCCCCCTAGTACCTACCTCCCTGCAGTTAGGGAACTTGAAGTGCACCCATGAAAAGAGCTTTCACCCCTGTAATGGGAAGAAAAAAGATCACCCCTCAAGGTCCGACAGTTCTGGCTGTGTGTACTTTCAGGCTCTCTGTTTGTAGTGGAGCAAGAGAGACCAACACCTAAGCTGAGTTCCAGGAAATGGATGGTGACGGCTGTGAAAGGAGTGACCAGGAGGAACTGAATGTTCCTCCCACACCCATTCACATCCTACCTTTGTGCTTCTGAGAACCACAATAAAAATAACAAATCCACAAACTAAAGCTAGATTTTTAAAATCCGGTCATCTAAGTGGGGTGGAAGGCAGGAAGGAGAGCTGGGCAGGCAGAGAGAGTAATGAAGTCTTCGACTTAGACCAGGGTAGGACTGGCATGCTCCTAATACCTAAAGAAAAGCCTGTAGTGCTTTTAGACTCAGAATAGTGCTAAAAATCCGCATCCTGGTGTCAGAAAGATTCTGCCTTACAAGCTCCAGAGACAAAATTCCAATTCTTCAGAGAGTGAAGGGCCCCTGGCAGAGTGGTCTTGCCTTTCCTGGGTAGGGGGAGGAAAACAGGGCAGAGAGCTGCCACCACCTCCTCCCAAGCCTACCCACTTTGGATGGCAGGTGACGACTCAGCAGCCTATTGTGACCTTCAGTGTGGTGGGAGATGGGTGTAATGAAGGAAACTTCTCTGCAAAGGCTGAGGTGCTTAGGGAAGGCTGTAGGAAAACCATCTTGTTCAAGAGTCTACTGCTTAAGAGGACCACCAAGGACAGGAGGTGCAACTGGGAAAAGCATGTTTCCCCAGGGGTCTTTCCTTCATGGGTGCTAAGAATGAATACAGGAAACTGGATAGATAGAGGCAACTGCTAGAATGTATGAGGACTGCGCTGCTGTGAGGAAAGCCCAGGGGAAACCAAATCCAAAGCACAGGGCCAACCCCTTTCTGTGTTTGATAATTGCTGGAACATTTCACTTCCTTTAGTGATCAGCAAGATTCACAGCAGGATAGTGAGTAGAAAAGGGACACGTGCAGGACACTAACCACGTGGCCAGCAAGGTGGATGAGGAAGACATTCACAACCCCCCACCCCCATGAGGAAAAGAGCCCACAGCAAAGCAGAAGGGCACAGCAGCAATTATTCCGTTAGCACTAGGGAATGAGTGAGGCTCCCTCCCAGACACCTCAAATGCGAGATCAGCTATCTTGGGAAATGCCCTTCTTCTTAAATTATGTTTTCAGCAGTGAAGTGCTGTTGATCCACTGAATTTCTTAATACTTGAAGATGGCACAAGAGAATGACATTCTAAACTTAAAAACCAATAAAAACAGTCACTTTTTATATTCCAAGAGGAGAAGTCCTTGCTTTTCAAAATTGTAAAGAGCCTTCAGGATCTCAAATACTTGTAAGTTGTTACAGGTCATTGACACCTAGAAAGATTACAACTAAACCACAGAAATTGTTCGGGAACCACTGCCAACTGAAAAACGACCTCAGTGAAGACTGCACACCCTGAAAATTTCAAAGACCATAGTGCGATTCCACGCAGCTGTCTACTGAGCACACTAGAAACGGATGGACCCCCCCCACGCACCGTCTCTGGTCCATGGTTCAACAAGGAGGTTTTCAGGCCCTGATTTATCTTCTTTTCCTTTGACATCACATGCCTGAAGAGTCAACTGGAGAGGTTTACCTGATCAGAGAAAAAGACAGAGTGAGCCCTAAGCTAGTACTATGAAAAAAATGGAAACCAGTACACCTGTTAGTGGAAATGGAGTGCGTGTGGCCACCCAAACCGCTGACTAATGTACCCATTTAACACACTGACTGCCACACTAGAAAAAAATGTTTCTCTGGGGCCATGGTGTTTCATTAAAACAAAACGATCCTTTCGAATTTGTTATTTTTTATTGTTTTCTGCGTGTAAGTTATGTGCAATGAATCCACGGTTTTAGAATTAAATTGTGAATATTAATTGTAACAATAAGAACAAGAAAAAGTAAGATTTTCATGAACCAACTGCAGGGTTTGGCTTCACAAGGCCCTGGGCTCAAAACTAGCTTGAGTTAAATACAACTCACATGGCAGTCAATGTGTTAAAAGCTAAAAAAGAACAATAATATTAGACAAAAGTTGACACCATCCCTTGGTGCTTTCCTGAAAGAGACAGAGGAGCACTTATGTCCCTGAGTGATTCCAAGGAGAGGTCTCTAGAATAATCACTGTGTGGAAACAAAGCACAGTATAAGACATAGACTAATACCGTAGATTTAACACTCTTGAGAGGAGGATCCCTAAGACATTGCTGTGGAGCCAATACTTAACTTTATTGCATTGCAGTTAAATACATAAGTAATGTTTTAGGTCTTGATTCTTTAAAACATCTCCAGACAAATTTTCAAAGTTTCAAGAATTATAAACTTTTGCTATGATGATCTCAAAACTGTCTCCTCTTGTTTCAATAACAAAATAAATACGCATTGGTCTACAACATAACCCAGAACTAGAACATTACTAGTAATGTACATTCCCCCTACGCATTACTCCCCTGCCCAAACGACCATTAATTTGAATCACAAACTTTTCTGAAGAACACTTCAGCTTCCAGGCACTACCTATCCCTGCCATCTAGGTCCCCTACCCTTCCAAAAAAAGACCTTTCCAAATTTAGAGGGGTAAACTGGATTTACAAGACATCGATTGTCGGACTTTAAAAATTAAACATAAAATAAGTTGCCAAGTCATATTAAAACAAAGATACAAATAGCATGGCAGAAATACCACAGTAATGCCTCTATCCTGAAGCAAATGGATGTAACACTATACGTAGTGGACAGAAACTTTGCCACTAGAGGCCAGGCTGGCCAGTAAGCTGCTCCTCACATGCTAAATGCAGTCATCTGGGAGTACACTTACGGGCTCCTGTGTTGAGAAGGATTAGAAAGCCCCATCCTGGGTCCCATCCCAACTCTCTTGGCCTACACAATGAGACACTCCTGGACTTCACCAAAAATGGCTGTGTTCAAACGGCCACCAAACCTGCATGATTATGCCAGTAAATCTTGGGAGTGCAGCCTTGTAGATACTCAGGTGTCCTCTTATGCTCATACTGCCATAAATGAACTAACATCCCTCTTCTTCCTACCTACCCCAAAGTCTGATACTCAGAGGATGTGTTCATCCAGAAATCATGGAATTAGTACAACCACCCAGTCCCTAAACTCCCCCCAAACACAAGAAGATGCCAGGAGATCACATGGTGAGGATGGCTTTATGATTGTCCACTGCTGGCATTTCCATCACACCCAGGGCATTTACCGTATTTGAGGAGCAGATTCTGTCTGACTGATGCCATGGACGAGATGAGGGATGAGGCATCATACTGTGTGTCCAAGTGGTCAGTGATGGTACACAGAGAGCTCATCACTTTGGTAACACTTCCTCTTGCTAGTGCAAATGCCAGAAGAGTCAGTTCTACTTCTGGGGTAGAACAGCAGCTACAACCAAAGAGCAAAAACTTCTTACTTCTTAAAAACATGAGAAAATACAAGTAGCTCAAATCCCATGTAATTGATTACCATACGTAATGTTAACATACCACGTGCTCTCTATAGGTTTAACAGAAATACTTTTTCAAAATCCTTAATATAACCTAAGGAAAAACTAAATCAACCCAGAGGACCAAGGAATTAAATCCTCAGTTCTATAACCTTTAATCTTTAAATACTAAATAATACTAATAAGCCAAAAATAACTGAGCTGCTGCAATAGGCCTCTGCTATTAAGAAGCCCTGGGTAAGGAGTTGGTTTGGCAAGAGACATGAGGGTTTTTGCCTTGAAGCACCAAAATTTTATTTTAGATCTACTCCACCTCACTCTTCTCTGCCTTTAATTTAAACACATTACACTAACTTTTAAAATTGTCTAAAAGTACACTAAACCTTTAAAATTGGCTCAGAGACTGGTTAGGGCTCACTGAGGTAGAGCTGAGTGTCTCCACACTAAATAGTCCCCTTTTATCAAGCTATCCAGGCACCCTCTCCCAATTCTACAGATAATCGAGTTTACCAGACCTGTGTGTGAAAGGTTGGCAGGTTCTAAATGAGGGCCGCAGGCTGGGGACAGGAGTGAACTAGGAGGCTTTGCATTTTGGACTTTGATACAGACATCCATTCTAGCAAAATTGGAAGACTATTCCTCTCACATCCCCAATTCTTGAGATCAGGTGATATTTCTGGATAATGGAGTTTAGATGGCTAAATTATTATGTCACTTTCTCCTCAGCTGCTAAAAATGAGCCATTTTTAGTGGTGATCTTAAAAAGATTAAAATATTTTTGCAAAAACAAGACCTAACAGACACATACGTCCTCCATCCCCCACAGAAAGTTCACCTCGTCAACCTTGATTTTACCTAGTTATCCTTATGAGGAAACTGTCCACTTCTTCCAGCACGTTGGGAGACAGGAAAGTGGAGAAATCTGTAGATCCTGGTGAGAGGGAAAGTGGAGGCATGTGCTGCAGTGCCTTCCTAGAAGAGGGAAATGTGAGATCAGAACAAAAAACTGGCCTAATCTAAGACAAAAAATAAACTGTTGAAGCTTGTGCTGGCTAATCTCTTACAAACAGAGAAGCTGGTACACAACGTGAACCAGCCCCTTTTCCCCACGAGCCACAGTCCTAAGTAGTTTAATAGAGTTTCAAATTTTTTTCTTTCTTTTAGGAGTTCCATTCTGCCCTGTTGAATAAAAGCTTATTCAATTCTCTGGAATCCAGCCTTTGTTTTAAGTAATGTGAGCAAAAGACATACATACTCTACAGAAAACCCTGGAGTTCTTAGAAAAACTGACCCCAGAGGCAGAGAACTTGTGGCTCAGCAGAAAATTTATTTCATACATAGGATCTTAAGATCTGTGGTATATAAAGATGTGTCATGAATTTTATTTTCTCCTAAACAGATCAGCACCCAACACTTTCTCTCCCCCTCCTGTCGTATTTCTTGGGCTTTCCACCCTAATGTCTGTTTAATGTTTCTCTTTTCTTGTCTCCGCCTACATTTATCTTTCTGAATCCTCTTAGATTTACCTCCTCTGGACTAGCAGTCATCTAACTAATTTATGAAACAAATCATTACTGAGTCCTACTATGTGCCAGAGACTATGGTAGGTGAGTGGGTGCACCATGAAAAACTTGAAAGTATGTCATGAATGTATCAAAAAGTAACTCAAACTTCTACAATTGATAGTCACTTTATGATATCAGTAATGAGAGTCCC